TAAATGCTTTTCTCAAATGTCACGTACTGCGGGTGACGTCTTCTGTGGAAGATTTTACATAACATTTTGTTTTGCATCTTGGGCAAATCTTTATCATGTAATATGTATCTAGCAATTATCTAGGATTGAGTCTTATCCCATGTTGCATATGGGATACTCTGGTGTAATACCTAAGCCCTTCTTAATATCTTAACTTAGATGGAGCTGGTGAAATGAAGGAATATATGGGTTATATCTTTCTTCTTTCTTTTTTTCCCTTCTTTCCTTCCTTCCTTTCTTTTTTCTTTCCTCTCTTCCTCTCTTCTTCCCTTCTCTCCTTCCTTCTTTCCTTCCTTCCCTTTTTTCCCTCTCTTCCTTCTTCCCTTCCTCCCTTCCCTCCTTCCCTCTCTCCCTTCTTTGCTCCCCTTTTTCCTTCCTTCTTTTCTTTTTTTTCTTTTGAAATGTTCTTTAAGAACTGACAACATGTTGTTGCTCAAATATAGAGTTGTAATTCTGCATGAACTATGGACAGGCAAGAATGTGTACTTAAACCTGCACTATTGCAAAATGAGTGTCTTACACATGTACTCAAACACTATTTTTTGCACTCTTTGTCCTATACCAGAAAACATCTTGTTTCTTGCTTTTTAAAGCTTTGTTTAGCTGCTTTTAAAAAATCTGTTTATGAAAAAAATCTCTTTATGGCATTATTTGCCTTGAATACATTTCAAGTTGTATATTTGTTTTCTAATTTAAAAAAAATTGACTGTAAACTCAGTGGGGACAAGGACTGTTTTATACTTTCTCTCCTTTAGCAGCTAGCATAGTGCTCTAATCACAGTAGCTATTCAGCAAATGTTTATTGAAAGAATGAAGACAAATGAATTGACTTTCCAATGACAATTCTCAAGACAGAGTAGGTATGGATCTGCCTTGAGAGTAAGAGTTTCCTCATTGGTGAAATTACAAGCCTTCCCCCATCCACCCCTACCCCAAAAGAAAATGAATAAAGGGATCTCCAAGGGCTATAGAGGTGCGTGGTCACTTTGGGTCAGTTCTTGAAAATGAACCAAGTTCCCCAAGGAGAGATCCCAGTAGCAGGGTGCACAGGATTATTCAAGACACTCCAAGTATTCACTTAGGAGTTTCAGTTGCCTTATCTCAGGTATGACTTCATCTGTTGTGTTTGGTCCTCTGAATTGTGTGCCTGACCGGACCCAAATCCCAAGACTTTAGCAACTCCAAATGCCCCCTTGACATCACCTGGGTAACTATGATAATGAACTTTTATCACTAAACTATTGACATCCTAAAGGTATGACTCTATCCCATTGTTGAGGACACTTGAAGATGGGCTGGGTCTAGGAAATGTAGGTCAGTCACAACATATCCAGGAGATCTAAAGGGAGGGCAAGAAACACAGGTCAGCACTACTAGGTATGGATCCCAAAGAGATTATAAAAAATGGAAAAGGATCCACATGTACAAAAATATTTATAGCAGCTCTTTTTTGTAGTGGTCAAGAATTGGAAATTGAGGGGACACCCATCAATTGGGGAATGGCTGAACAAGTTGTGGTATATGAATGTAATGGAATACTATTATGCTATAAGAAATGATGAGCAGATGGACTTCAGAAAAACCTGGAAAGACTTATATGAACTGATGCTGAGTGAAGTGAGCAGAACCAGGAGAACATTTTACATGGTAATGGCAACATTGTACGATGACCAACTTTGATAGACTTAGCTCTTCTGAGCAATACAATAATCTAGTCTAAGACAATTCCAAAAGACTTATGATGGAAAATGCTATCCACATCCAGAGAAAGAACTATGGAGTCTGAATGAAGATCAAAGTGTACTATTTTCTCTCTCGTTTTTTCTTTCTTCTGTTTTTTTCATTTTGTTCTGACTCTTCTTTTACAACATGATTAATGTGGAAACATGTTTAATATGATTGTACATGTATAGCCTATATCATATTACTTGCCATCTTGGGGAGGGAAGGGAGGGAGGGAGAAAAAAATTTGGAACTCAATATCTTATAAAAGTTAACATTGAAAACTATCTTTACATGTAATTGGAAAAAATAAAGTACTATTAAGTAGGGGGAAAAAAAACAGGATGGGGTTAAAAGACACCAGGTGGTCAAGGTCGGAGTTTGAGCAAAAAGTTTAAACATAATCTATTTTTGACAACCCAGGTGAGCAACCTGGATCTTTAAAGCCTGAATAAAAGATCATCACTCTAGAGCTAGAGTTTCAAGACCATCTAATCCACTCTCTCCTCCCCTTCCCCACTACCCCCAGTCATTTCACATGTAACAAGAGTCCAGACTTACTCTTAACCAGCACACATCCACACTTGTAAGTTGGGTCCCCAGATGTACTGGCTACCTATCTCCTCAGGTTCCAGGGGGTACCTCTAATAAGCTATTGACTTGAGACCCCAGTCCAATGTTTTCTCCCCAATATCAATTGCCAGTGGTAGTTATTATCTTCCCATTTATTTTTTAAAATTTGTTTTCATTGGTAAGTCCTCTGTTAACACAGAGATGAGGAAAATAAAGCCCACAAAGGTTTAATAATTTCCTCAAAATCATAAAGGTAGTAAGTATCATAGAGGAGATTTAAACTCAGGTCCTCTGACTCCACAAGCACCACATAAGGCCAACAATACCTTTCTTGTGTATCCAACATGTTTCAGCTATGGATAGCTTCCAGGTACTGCCACCATTTTCCCTATGAGAGACAGCCCTGTTCAATCAGGGCTAGACTGCTAAATTTTCGCCCAGGTCACGTAGAGCCTGGACAAGATCAGAGCCAGGATAAGAACCCTAGGCTGTGGGTAGATAAAAGAATCCAGAATTTTTAATTTCCCAAATGCAATAGTAGTACAAAACAAATAGCACAGTGCCTCACATACAACAGGAACTTAATAAATGCTTGTTCCCTTTCCCTCCCCCCTTTTTCAAGATATTTGGTCACTGTATTAGGAGACCTTGATAAATAATAATAATAAAGCTCCAACAGGCAAAAGGTGTTATGATACACAAGGTCTATTTTTACATCACCTGTCAATGTTGATTGTTCCTTATCTTTCTTCAGGAGGGACACAAACTAATTGGATAAAGATCAAAACTTTTCTGAAGCCTGCTGCCCACAAGTTTCCTGAGGCAAATGAGCTCTGTGCCACCGTGATGTTACCCCAGGCCCCAGAGGAAGTAAAGCAAAGCCAATTCATGTAAACAGGAAGCCAACAAAACCCACATTTTCCATGAAGAGGTATCTTGGAACACCCCCACTTTCTCCATGAAGCCTTCCCTGATTCTCTTATGCTTCCTCCACCCCTGAAATTATTGAGTGTTTGCCTATACTTTGAATATGTTTATGTGTGTTTATATCATCACTCTCGATAGAATGTAAGCCACTTGAGGCCAAGGACTTTCATTCTTTGTCTGTATCCTCAGCACCTAGTACATAGCAGGGACTTCATAAATGTTGATTGATGAATTGAAATCTAAGAGAAACTGGGGAGAATCATAGCCAGGGCAGAGTAATTAAGGACCAAGAGCCAGTGATCAATTAACTCAGAAGATGAGAAGATGGTGCCAATTGTGGTATCATCATATAAACAAAAGCAAATGTTCTTATGCATGAACTTGCATACACACACACACACACACACACATACACACACACACACACACACTGTACAGGATCATCGAGCTAGAAGGGGCCTCAAAGGCCATCTATCTCATGTTGCAGATGAGAAAACTGAGGCTGTCATCTCCCTGGTTCCTGTCCCCTTCCCCAGTATTTCTGTCTTTGGTTTCCCATGTAGCTCTCCCTCCAATTAAGAATAGACAAGCAATCATATGCTTCTGGGAGAAAGAAGGGTAGACACAGAAGTTTTGGGGGCCTAGAAATAGGGGAAGGAAGAGAAGAAAGGAGGAGGAGGAGGAGGTATATCTGAGTTCAACCCAGGTCAAGGAGGAAGAGGAGGGTGAGTCATTGACTCAGAGCTTCTTGGACTTGACACATAGTGTAAATGTTGAATAGGGACATTCGTCATGGCTCTCTCTTTCTCCTCCCGCCCCATTCTCTCTCTCTCTCTCTTTCTCTCTCTCTCTCTCTCTCGTCCCTTCTCTCTCTCCCTCTCTCTCTCTCTCTCTCTTCTTCTCTCTCTCTGTTTACCTTACTTTCTCCTTCCCTCCCTCTCTGTCTCTGTCTCTGTCTCTCTTTGTCTCTCTGTCTCTCTCTCTCTTCTCTCTTTCCCTCTCTCTCTTTCCTGAAGAAAACATTTTACTGATGCCACTTAAGGCATTTTCTTCCTGGAGTTTTGGTCCAAATAACATGCACAATTACAGTATGAATTTGATGTCATAGAATCAGAAGCCTAACTAGGTCAGAGCAATTAGCACTCTTACCCAAGGTGACAAAATCAATCAATCAATCATTTAATAAATATGTATTAAATGCTTGCTATGTGCCAGGCACTGTGCTAAGAACCGGGGTTACAAAAAGAGGCAATAAACAGTCCCTACCCTCAAGGAGCTTACAATCTAAAGGGAGACAATATGCAAACAAATATATACAAAAAAAAGCTATTTACAATAAAAGTAAGAAATAATTAGCAGAGGGAAGGCACTGGAATTGAGAGAGGTTAGGGAAGGTTTCCTGTAAAAGGTGGGATTTTAAAATATAAAGGGTACAGATAACAGCACTTTCCGTCCTTCAATAACAAAAAACTCAGCAGATGTAGTTAGTAAGAATAATTTGTTGTTGTTGTTGTTTGGGAGGTAGGGGAGTGGGGAAAGGATCTAGGCCTCTGTTTTTTTGCTTTAAAGAACTTCCAGGAGAGAAACTCCCTCAATTAATGCTTTACAATTTATAGTCTTGGAGAATAGTCTAAAGAAATGAAAGGGTTAAGTGTGTTGCCCAACAGCTAGTATGTGTCAAAGGTGTCAGTTGACACTGACTCTGAGTCTGGATCTCGATGCACCACTCCATTCTGTCTTTCAACTGGGCAGAATAATTAGCTAAAATTGGAATTTACCAGATGGCCGCTGCCTACCCTGGATGGTCACATCACAGGTGTGCTCTTCTCTGATCTGGCCCTGCACTATTCCCTTCTGTGGTAGCTTGGAGGTGTCCTCAGGTCTCTGCTACACATCCCCTCCAAATGATGCAGAGGTACCTTTTGTGCGACTTTCCCCAGATTTTTTTGTAAAGAAAGATTGGCGAGAGGTTGGCTGAGACAGCAGGGGCTTCCAGTCCAAAGCTGATAAAGGGGTCGGACAACTAATCAGAAAGATTACAGGGGGCCCTTTGCTGGCAGTGGGTGCAAATGGCTTTAATTGGCAACTCTTTTACCCATAAGCAATTCTGGGTCACAGTTCCAGGGCAGAGAGAATTGCTAGCATTCAAAGCTGCAGGAGACCTGAGGACCTAGTCACGGTTTCAGGGTCAAGAAGAGCACTAGTACTTTCAGCTGCTGAAGAGCAGGGCTCCTTCTTGGATAAGGACCAGAGCACAGACCAGGAGAATAGTAATCACACCAACTTGGATGAGCCCAAAACTTACAAACTTCTGGAACTAGCTCTGAAAACAGCTTGAAAAAACCTGAAGCTTGGGACAGTGTTTCTAGACCACCAGGTGAGCAGAGCCCAACTTTAACATAAAGTTCAGAGTGAAGAAATAGGCTGGGAAAATGAGTAAACAACAACAAAAAAAGAATTTTACTATAAAAAGCTACTATGGTGGCAGGAAAGACCAAGACATAAACTTAGAAGAACTTAGAAGAAGACAACAATATGAAAACAGCTACAAGCAAAGCCTCAAAGAAAAACTGGGAAAAGAAATGAGTGACACAAGAAAATTATGAAAAGAAAATTAAGAGCTCGGTAAAGGAGGAACCAAAAAATACTAAAGGAAGTAAGACATTAAAAAACAGAATTGGTCTAATGATGAAAGAGGCACAAGAGCTGCTATAAACAAACTAGCTAGATAATCTCTGAGGTCCCTTCCAGCTCTGGAATTTTGACCTTTGGGAGAGGAGGGGGAGGAAGAAATAGTTCCTTGCTTGCAAATACTTTTAGCCAGGAAGCCCTTGGTTTTGGAAAAAAAAATAAAGAAATCCTACACTTTACCTTGATCTTGAACCCCACCTTTGTCAAACATTAGCTGACTTTAAAGATGTTATAAGTAAACTTGATGTAAGAAATCTAGTCCAGTACTGAGACATTTTTAGATGGAATATTTTCCTCCAGTTGCCCAGTCAGAGTCACTTCACACTGGATACTTTTTAATTAGTTTAATTAAATGAATCAGTTTTAATTAGTTTAATTAATCAAACCTGGCCTCAGCATTTACTGGCTGTGTGACCTTGGGCAAGTCACTTAACCCCTGTTTGCCTCAGTTGCCTCATCTGAAAAATGGGCATTGTGATAGTACCTACTTCCCATGGTTGTTGTAAGGATCAAATGAGATAATAATTATAAAGCACTTAGCATAGTGCCTGGCACATAGTAATCACTATATTAAAGTTAGCTATTCTTTTTTTAATTAGGTGCCCAAATCTTAAACAGGCCATCAAGACTTTAGCCTATTTGAGAGAGAGAGAGAGAGAGAGAGAGAGAGAGAGAGAGAAACAAAGAAAAAGAAAAAGAAAGAAAGGAAAGAGAAAGAAAGGAGGGAGGGAGGGAGGAAGGGAAAGAAAGAAAAAAAATTATCCAGAACAGATTCCTTTGGAATGATGGCAGACATCAGTCTTTCACCAGTTCAAAAGTTCACTGGGCTCATTTTTTTCAAAGTGAACATAATAAACTTTCCAAGACGAACTTTTTTTTCCTTTCAAAATAATTGTTCTCTGTCCACTGGCTGACTCAGGAATCTGGCTTTGTCTGCACTTGACATAGATAGGTGTGACCCAGTAGCTGGTGATGGTTTCTGTGGCAGGGCTCTGTGTGTCTGAGAAGCTGAGTTGGGAAGGAAGCTCGTAGAACATAGCTAGAGATGTCTTTACGTCCTTAGTAATCTTTACCTCAGACGTAGACAAAGACTTTTAACCTGTGACAAAGTCTTGATTATACTTAATGAATATTAAATGTACTGAAGTAAACTGTATATTAAGTCTATTAAGCAAATACTTAATAAGTATATTACTTAAAAATGTACTTAAGAAGTATATTAAGTAAACTGAAGCAGATTGGGTCTAGGGAAGATCTTTAAGAAACCAGGCAGTGATGGGACAGGCTTGTGCAGGAGGTAGATAGCGAGGCTCTGGGTCAGAACGACCTGGGTTTTTGAGTCCTGAGTCCTCCCTCTGACGTGTACCAATCTCAAGTACCCTGGGCAACTAATTCTCATAAGACAATAAACTGCAAAGAAGTTGCCAGTCTGCCTTGGATTGTCCCTACACCATGAAATCATGAGGTTTGGCCTGAAAAATGAAGAAAAAAAAAAAGAAATAATACAACGGGGGGTGAAAAGTCTCTAAGTCTCTGCGTGGCAAAATTGTTCCGTGGAAAGACTGCCAGCTTTGGAGTGAGAGGATTGATGTTGCTGTTTAGTCTTTTTAGTTGTGTCCGACTCTTCATGACCCCATTTGGGATTTTTTTTTGGCAAAGATACTGCAGTGGTTTACCATTTCCTTCTCCAGCTCATTTTACAGATGAGGAAACTAAGGCAAACAGGGTTAAGTGACTTGCCCAGGGTCACACAGCTAGTAAGTGTTTTGAGGCTGGATTTGAAGTCAGGTCCTACTGAATCCAGGGCTGGCACTCTATCCACTGCTCCACCTAGCGAGAGTGAGAAGACCTGGGTTCAAAACCTGCATCTGTCACTCACCTACCTTAGGGCAAATCTTTAAATCTTTCTTGTCCTCAGTTTCCTCATCTGTAAAATGACAAGGTTAATCTGAGTGGCCTCTCAGGTTTCTTCCAGCCCTAAATCTATGCTTCTCTGACCCTACAACTTTTATCCAGATGAAAACATTTTGTATTTACTTACATTTGTACTGATAGGATGTAAATTCCTTGAAGGCAAGAACTTTTGGTTTGGGTCTTTGTACCCCCAGAACCTAACATGGCATTTGGCACATTGTAGATGCTTAGTAAATACTTGTTAATTGATTGAGTGATTGATTGATGTCTGCTCAATATTGGCGAGGTTAGGAGAGAAATGAGTTTGTGGCCTGGGACAGTGTTACTTTGAAGGGAGAAGAGATTTTCAGCATATATCATTTTAGTCTATCCACTGAGGAGTGACTATCATCTTTAAGTTTCATGGACTCTTTTTTCCTTTTCTTTCTCGTCTTTTATTTATTTATTTATTTTTAGGTAATGTATCATAGTGGCTATATATTGGACTTGATGACAGGAAGACATGAGTTCAAATCCATCCAAAGATCTCTACTAGCAGTGTGACCTGGGATGAATCATCACTTAACCACTCTAAGTCTCAGTTTACTCATCTGTAAGACCAGCATAATAATAACACGTGCAACACGTGCCTCACAAGGCTATTATAAAGATCAAATGAGATATGTCCTGTGCTTTACACATGTTAGATGTTATTATTTTTTTCTCTTTTTTTTTAGGCAAAAAAGATTAATCAGATGTGAAAATTAGTTGACTCTTCTAGAAAGTACCCTTTGCTCTCCCTCCTAATCCTCACCACCTGGCTTCCTTAGCTTCCTTCAAGTCTCAGCTAAATTTCCACCCTCTGTAAGAAGCCCTTCCCAGTCCTCCTTAATCATAGTGCCTTCCCTCCGAGAATATCTCCAATTTATCCTGCATATGGATTGTTTGTACATAATTGTTTGCATGTTGTTTTCCCCATTAGACTGAGAAACTTTTATACCAATTGGCTTGAGACAGTGCCTCCTTTTTAATAGAAAAAAATCATTTGTGGTATGCTGCAAAGAATGCTGGACTGGGAACAGCTACATGCTGATAAATGTTTAACAACCAGCTCTGAAAGACGAGGATGTATGTGACACTCTATTAAGTTTAATCTGCATTATTGACATTCCTGCATCACTTTCTTAAGTCTGGACAATCGACAAAACAATAAATCAAGTCCTGATTTGTAGCATTTGATGATTTCTGAGGTGTAAATGCTCACACTGAAAATTTAACAATCAGCTCTCTTGAACCAATTGGAACTGACTCTAGCACACCCCTGAAATGGGATTCAAGAGCTCTAGTTCCAGCTCTGCTAACTAGTATAGGGACCTCAGCAAGTTTTCCCTGGATGTTATTTCCTTCTTTCTTTGTAAAATTATCTCTAAGTCTCTTCCAGTCAATAAATTAATAGGCTTTTTTTCCCCAAAAATTCAGACCCATTTATTATTCCTTTAGAAGATTTCTATGCCAATCAAAAGAGAGCTTCTCATTCCCCCAATCCCCTATTGTACTACAAATTCCAAGTTTATTTTTTATTTTTTATTCTTAAGAGTTAATGATATATTTGTAGCAAATATAAACAAATACTGAGCAATGGGTTTAATTGCCTCCAGGGGTTTTGAAAAGAAAGCCTACTTCTACGCAATTTGTGGGAGTTGTCTACACCTTTCTTCAATTTTTCATTTGTGATTCTAGTTCTTTCATATATCTATCTTATCTATTTATTCATCTATCTTCTGTGTTTTTACAATTCATGGCCATGGACTCATTTTTAATTTTAGGAGCTTTTTGCTGGTCTATATAACAGAAAATTGCTGGTCTATATCAATAGGCATTTATTAAGGCACCTACTAAGTGTCAGGAAACATTCTAGACACTGGGAATATGTTAGCAAACTGATGTGCGTTGGAAGTGAGATGAAAAATCATTCTCGTTTTATCTTTCGTGTAGGCCTGCCATGCACCTGGGAAAGAAGACATGTTAAGGAAGAAAGGCCTGAAGAATCAATCTATCTTGTTATACTGTTGCAGAATTCTCTCCTCACTCATAAGACGTAAGGAAAACCCTGGCTTTTGTATATATTTAATATATACTTAAATCGGTCAGCCAGCTAGCATCTACTAAGCATCTGCTATGTGCCAGGCACTGTGCCAAGCACAGGAGATACAAAGAAAGGTAAAAAACTGTCTCTCACAGTCTAATGACAACATGCAAACAACTACTATACGTGCAGACAAGCTCTATAGAGCATAAATTGGAGAGAATCACAGGGAAGGCACCATGATTAAGAAGGACTGGGTAAGACTTCTTGCAGCATTTTAGTTGAAACTTGAAGGAAGCAGCCAGGGAAGCCAGAATGTGGAAAGGACGAGGGACACCATTCCAGGCGTGGAGGCCAGCTAGTGAAAATTTCCAGAGCAGAGATATGGAGCATCTCATTCCAAGGAACAGAGGCCAGGTTCACTGGATGGAAGAGTAGGTGGGGGAAGAGAACAGGAAATAAAGTGTTAAGAAGATTGGAAGGTGAGGAAGGTCAGGTTGTGAAGGGTTATGAACACCAGAGGATTTTATATTTGATCATGAAGGTGACAGGGAGCCATTAGAGTTTATTGAATGAGGGTGGGAGGTGGGGTGAACTGGTCAGATCTGTGCTTTAGGAAGATCTCTTTGACAGCCAAGTGGACTGGAATAGGGAGAGACTGATGGTGGTAGGCTGACCAACCAGCAGGCTGTTGGTATAGTTTATTTCTGAATTTGAAAGTAAGTTTTGCCTCATTTCTTTTATTTTCTGAGCTATTTATAGTCACTTATTTCTAATCTAAAACATTAAGACAATACATTGTTTTGCTTGGTCTTTTAGTACTGGTGCTCACATCAGGGAAAAAATGAAAATTTATTCAAGATTAATTTCTTCCTCCCATCAACAAATATTTGAGGAACTGCTTTAGGGCCATGCAATTCAATTCCATAAACAATTATTTAATGTCTACTTTGTGCCAGGTACTGTGCGTACTGGAACACAATAAAAAATTGCCTCAGGGAACTGACATCTACCTATTGGGTAGAAACAACATACACACAACAAATACTGGATTCATACATGTAACAGAGCCTTTTCTGGGCATGCTCAGATGATCTAACACGGAGCCACTCTGCTGCTGGGGAGGCCATTCTACAGTTCCCACCGTATAGATGGGAGAAACTTTTGACCTGCTGGGTAGCAAGAACAAGATTGCCAGCCTGGGGCGCTTTCTGTTTAACCGTAGTGATGTCCATAGAAAGAGGGAGCCAGGAACTGACTGGGGCATGGCGGGGGTAGGGAGGAGCAGGGTACAGTGGCTATCGTCTTGTCCCTGTCTTTCACTCTGTGGCCCCAAGAAATGGGGTCAGGGTGTCATTTTTGATTTGTTCTGTTTGTCCTTTTCAATTGTCGTTACAGGCAGTTGAATCTCCATTGGACCTGGGAGTACCAGCCGTGGCAACCTTGGAAGCAGGATTCTAGAACAAATATGTAACCAGCCAGCCCAGCAAAAGGAAGCCCTAATTATCCAGAGTGCCCAGGAACACCAAACCAAGGAGGGCTTTGAATTTGGAACTTGGGACTCTACTATATAGGAATTAAACTAAACTGGGAACTTAATTCCCTTCTTCTCCCCAGAGAATGAGGTGAAGGGAGGGGGGAGGAGATTATCACTCCCCGGGTATTGAGGGGATGGGATATTTGTGTATTTGTTCTTGCTTTGAAGTAAACATAAAGATTCCTTTGTAAAAGCTAATATGACTGTAAAAAGATTAAATGTAATTTGGGTGCAAGGGACCTTTACGGGATCACCATTAGTAGGGGCTGGAGGGGTTAATGATAGAGAGCCTAGGTACCCCCAAAACCCTTAAAGGTAGGAGAGAACCCTGAGGAAGGGAGGAAAAGTAATATATCTGGCTTTCAGGCATTGGGAGCCAGGTTAGATACTGTTATGTAATAGAGAGAGAGAGAGCGAGAGAGAGAGTAGATAGATGGATAGATGGATGGATGGATGGATGGATAAATAAGACACAGAGATATATAGATAGTATATTTATCTAAGCATATACATAACACTCACATATACACATTATGTATAAACATACACATGCATACATATATAATGTATATAATGTAAACACAAAGCAGTTTCTAGTGGGGGAAAGGGGGGAAGTTCTAACAATTAACAATTAAGGGTCTGGTGTAAGAGATGGTGCCCATGCTAAGCCTTAAAACATCAACCTTTATTTTATTAAGGGTCAACTGAATACAGAATCTAATTAATACCTTTCTTTAAGTGGCCTTAAAAAAGAAAATGTATATGTGTAACTATAGGATAATAGGATCATAAAGCTGGAAGTCTTACCTTTAGAGGGTCATCAAGTCTAACCCTCTCATTTTATAAATGAGGAAACTGAGGTTCTAAGACATTGTAACTTGCCCAGGGTAAGTGTTTAAGATGTGATTCAAAATTTAGTTTTTTCCCCTAGTCCAATACTCTACCCAGTGCCTATATTACTCATATTTACACACACATGCACATGCACTCACACACAACACACACCAATAAACTTTTTCACCCCCTGAAAACCAAGGGGCACTACATTATTTTAAGACTCCATGGCTTTAATTTTTATGTTTTATTGATGTATTTTGCTTTTTACACCAATTATTTCCTGATGTACTCCTCCAATGAGCCTGCATTTGTTTTTTAAGTTAATTTTTTACAATAAAAAAATCTACCTTTTCCTCTTCTCACTTTCCACTCCCCCCATTAAAATAAAAATTAAAAGAAAGTCCTTGTAACAAATATGCACAGCACTAAATAGCATTAAGCTGTGCACAGCATGTTAAGCAAAATAAATTCCCACATTGGCCATGTCCAAAAAATATGTCTCAATCTCCACTCTGAGTGTAGTGGGTAGCATGTTTCATCATGAGCCCTCTAGAATTGGATTCAGTCAAGAATCTCTGGGTTATCTGCTAACAAGGTTGATTACTGTAATCAGTCTAAATTTGGCTATCTCAGAGTTGTTTTCCTTTAGGTTATTATAATCATTGTGTATAATGTTCTTCTGGTTTTGCTTACTTAGCTCTGCTTCAGTTCATGTAAGTCTTCCCATTCTTTTCTAAATTGCTCATATCTGTCATTTCTTGTGGTTTGCATTCATATACTATAATTTGTTTGGACATTTCCTAGTTGATGGAAACCTATTTTGCTTCCAGTTTTGAGAGGGGAGGAAAAGTTTGTTAACCCAAAAAGTACTGCTATGAACTATTTATTTATCTGTTTGTTTGTTTATTTATTTTGCCTTTGATTACTGTGGGGTATATACCCAGCAGTAACACTGAATGGTTTTAATATAGCACCACCTACAAAGCCCATGTTTGGAATATAAAACCCCTTAAAAGATTATTTATTTTATCTCATATCACTTTCTTCACTCTTTTAGTAGTAATAGAGAAGCAACCTTTTGCCATCCTGTTTTAAAATAATATTTATTAACTGTTGCATAATTTGATATTTTAGACATACAATGATGAAAATAGGATCATAGATTTAGTTAAAAGAGACCTGGGAGGTCATCAAATCCAACTCCCTCATTTTACAGATGAGTAAACTGAGACCATCGAGGTTAAGTGATTTGTCTGTTATTCAGTCACGTCTCTTTTCAACCATAGAACATAGTACACCAGGCCCTTCTATCCTCCACTATCTCCCAAAATCTGGCCAAGCTTAAGTGACTTGTCCAAAGCCATATAGGTAGAAAGTTCAGAGCTGGGATTTGAACCCATTGTCTTTGTCTCTTAATCCAATGTTCATTTGCCCCCACCCTGTTCCCCCAATAGAAATATTCCAAAACAGCAATGAATATTTTTGCCCTCTTGTTTGGATTTAATTGACATTTTAAAATACTCAGGGTAATTTTTAAAACAAACACTTTCAAAAATGTATTGCTTAGTCACTAGACTATTAACATTTCATATGCATTATATTAGAGTTATTCTTTCATTTCTTAATTTCTTTCCAGATTGTTCCTTTACAAATATATAATATATAATCATCATTTGTGAGAGTGTTTGATTCTTTTTTAATTACTCTGAATTAATTATGTTTGCAATGTGCTATGCTAGATGTTGGGTACCAAGATAAATCTGACTTGTCCCTTTCCTTCATACAATTTACAATCTACAATTTAACATAATACAAATCAGAGTGCATAGAAGAATAAAAAGTGTTATGAGATGAGTTTAATACCATAAGTAGCAAGGGGAATTAGGAAAAGCTTCATGGAAGAAATGGTATTTGAGCCAGATTTTGAAAAATGAGTAGGACACCAGCAGGTTTGTGGGTGGACTGGGAAAGGTTTTGGGTTTTGTTTTTGTTTTTCCAGCAGCTAGATGGCACAGGGAACAGAATGTTGGGCTTGAGTCGTGAAGGCCCAAGTTCAAATTCTGCATTGGATTATCACTGGTTGTATGACCCTGGGCAAGTCACTTAACATTTCTGAGTCTCAGTTTCCTTATCTCTAAAATGGGGATAATAATAGCGCTTACCTCTCAAGATTGTTGTGGAGATCAAATGAGAGAGCATATGTAAGGTTCCTTGCTAGTTATAGTGTTATAAAAATTCTAGCTAATTATTATTATTTTGTTGTTATTATTATCAGTATCATTGTTGTTACGCAGGCATAGGGAATGTATAGACAAAGGTATAGCAACAGACTGTGTCTAGGTGCCATAAATAGAGTTATTTAGCTAGAATTTAAGCACATGAGAAGGAGAAAGTACTATTGGATAAATATGAGAGGTATAATGGGGTTGGACTATAGGAGCCCTGGAATGCCAACCTAAGGAACATGGTCTTTATTTAGTACAAAACAGTCACTGAAGATTTTTGAGAAAGAATGGCATGATTAGGTGTGTACATAAGTGTGAAGGTGCAGCTACAATGTGTAGGATGGAGACCCTTTGAACTATTATAAAGTTAGGATTATCAGATTGGTTGATTGGCTATAGAGGATGAGAGAGAGACATGAGTCCAAATAAACCAGATTCTCAAATCTAGATGACTAAGAGGATGGTGGAGGCACTGACAGAGATCATAGAATGATAGATGTATAGCTGAAAGGTGCCTCTGACTGCTCCACCCACCCACCCATTCTATAGAGATCTGGAAAATGAGACCCAGGGAAGTTAAATAACTTGCCTTAGGTCATATAACTAATAATATTTAATTCTAACATCTCTGATTCCAGAGTTAGGGCTGTTTCTACAGTGCCAATTATAATAATACTCACATTTACATAATGTTTTAAGTTCTGCAAAATACTTTTCCTTACAAAAACCCTGTAAGGTAACTAAAGCAAATTTAATTATCCTTGTTTTATAGGGAAGTCAGAAAGAAAAATAGAACAGTTGGTAGGAAGGAGGAAGAAAGGAGGGAAGGCTGATGATTAAAATTTTAATTGACATACATTTTTGTTAGAAAAACTTTTAGTTTGTCATTTTTTCACAAAAGATTAAGCTAATAATTTTTAAAAATTATTCATTTTTAGCATTTATTTTTAGATTTTGAGTTCTGAATTTTTTCCATCCCCCTCCTCTCTCACTCATTGTGAAGGCAAGAAATGTGATATCAATCATACATGTGAAATCACGCAAAACATATTTCCACATTAACCATATTGCAAAAAAAAAACAAGAAAAATAAAGAAAGTGAAAAAATTATGCTTCATTCTGCATTGAGACTTTATCAGTTCTTTCTCTGGAGGCAGATAGCATTTTTCATCATAAGTCCTTTGGAATTGTGTTAGATCATTGTATTGATTAGAATATAAGCTAGCAACTTTTTTAAAAATTGTTATCAAGGAAATAGAGACAGTGTGACACAGTGACTAGAAGGCTAAAATCAGAAAGGCCTGAGTTCAAAGTTAGCCTCTGGGGCCTCAGTTTCCTCATTTCTAAAATGAGGGGGTTGGACTTCATGGCCTCCAAGGTCCCTTCATCCTGGGACTTAGTAATGTAACATGCTGGGGGCAGATTAGCTAATGGTGAGGGGAAGACCAGGACTTAGTCATTCACCAGGCAGTGTGAAAAGGAGATGTGATCAAAGGAATTCTAAAAATAAATGCCATTCTCTTCTAAAAATGAAGTCGTCTGCAAGAAGCTAAATTGGAAAGCTTGTTAGCTTGTCTCCTTTGTCCTCTGGAGCTAATGTTCCCATTTTCAGTCATGTCTCAGCCCTTAAAATGATAGTCAGCACTACTCAAGAGAGAGAACTAAGGATACCAAAGAGCTGATGAGTTGTGGCATGGCACAGCCCAAAGTGTAAATTCAACATTTCTTTAACAGTTTTTCTGGCCTTTACTATTCTTGATGCTGTCAACACTAGTTAGCTAAAAAAGGAATGGGATCTCTTCCAAATTATTCTAATTCATACAAAACCTTTCTCTCACTTTGTGATACTAAATGCTTTAAATGGAAAGAGAAAAGGGGAGGGACAGTTGAGAAATTCCCAATCATTATTTGTAAGCTAATTCAGAGTCCTACCCCCACCCCCACCCCCATCCCCAGTTATCCAGAGGGAGTGGCTACTCCTAAAACTATAGCTAACAAGCCCCCAGCCAGTGTGCGTACCTTTAATAGTCAGCCAGTAGACATAATTAACTCAAAGTAAAGGCATTTATTAAAATCACATAGCAAGAATTGTAGTTATGCAACATCCCCCTCCATAAACCTGGGAGATACATCGTA